GGAACCCAATGTGTAGTACTCTCCTGATGTTAGGGACATCTACACCAATGCCAAAGGCAACAGTGACAAAAAGCACTTTGGCTTTACACACTCCTTGTACAATTTCATCCAGAATGCGGTCCTTTTCATGCTGTGGGTATTGTGCATGGAACTGAGCAAACAAACGATTTTTTGATATATGATCAGCACCAGCAGGATAGTACTGATCCTTTCCTAGACTTTGACTGAAAAACAAAAATGCATCCGAACATGTTGCCAGACTACCATAAACAATAGTCAATGGCATGTCAATTTGCTTCTCCTTTAACTCATTTGCAAGGGGTGAAAGGACTGCATCTAGCTTGTCTTCACCTGATGATGGTCTGACCTTACACTCATAAAAAATGTTCTTTCGATCAGGATTTGTCATGATTATTATTGGTTCATCGAGCTTAAGAGAATCAAGGATTATTGATTGTGTTGACTTTGTTGCTGTGGCAGTTAAAGCAACATGTGGTACATTAGGAAATATGCTGCTAAGAATATCCAGTTTCCCATATGCTGGTCTGAAATGATCCCTAAACAGGATAAGAAACAAAATGAGAAATTACTGAATACATAATTATGTAAATTGAAATGCTGACCGCACTGTTTAAATTAGTGCCAGTCTTAGGTTGTGATGACCATTAACAATAATAAACCACCATCATTTCAAAACAAGCAATATTATTACATACTATAAGTATGATAAATAATGATTAAGAATTATAAACAAAAAATATTATTACATGTATATTGGTGTGCACTTGCAGGGGTGGATCCAGGAATTTTTGATAGGGGGTCCCAGGGTTTTCCCTAAAATGAGAAGTAGAAGATGAAATTTTGGAAGTAGACGGCAATAGCTATTCCGCCTTTCACATGGCTGGCGGCATAGCCATGTTCATGGGAGGGGGTAGCGCCTGTGAGGGGTCTCCCCAGAAAAATTGGAGATTTAAGGCTCTGAAAAGCGCATTTTGGTTGATCCTGGAGATGGTTTTGCTATGGAATATGGATAATGGTGAAAGCAAAAAGACCCTCAGATCTGATAGGGGGTTCGGACTCCCCCCGACCCTCCCCCTGGATCCACCAATGACTTGTTGCAACTACACTAAATAAAGGAACATTGTAGAATAATGGATCATAAATTTGTACAAAATCCCAACTGGCTGGCATTATTAGCCTAGAATGTAAACATTAAAGCTTCACTTACCATTCTTTGATCAGGTGTGCCTCATCCACTACAACAGTTTTAACTCTTTTCTGATAAGTAGGAGATTTCAGCAGCGCCTGAAAACTCTTATCATTTACACAGACCTCTGGATGGACAAACAGTATACGGCAACTCGGTTTTTTAACGAACTCATCGGGAGACTAGCGCGGTATTCCTCTCCACGGCTATCTTCTACATTTACAAACTGGCCTTGTACCATGTGTGCAGACACTCCTTTCCCGTTCAGTTTAGAAATTTGATCTCGCATTAGAGCATTTAAAGGCGAAACAACCAAAACCATCGCTTGATCTGCTGCAGAATGTTGTTGTCCCGATATAAAGTCAAAGACGCCTGGAAGAACTTGGTAAATCAACGATTTCCCAAAACCAGTGGGTAAAACAGCAAGAACGTCTCTGGAGTTTAACACAACAGATTCTATTGCAAGCATTTGCTCTGCTTTCAGTGCCACATTTAATCCTAACTCTTCCAACGCGGACGAAATTGCTTGCTTGAAAGTGGCCAATCTATCCATTTTACCAACTACGCGAAACTATGGTTTTGGCGCGAAAATATGGAGCTGCCTCAGTTTAAAAGGACAGTTTAATACGGTATTTATGATAAAAAAAACTTACCGGAATTATCTGTTGTATTTCCTGAATGTAGCCGACATTTTTTGCTTTTAAACAGCCCTATCGCCCTGTCAAAATAAACATTATTCGTCGTCGAGCTGTCTTCCATCGAAGAAGCATTTGAATAATCCAAATTTCGTTCATACGTTGAGACGTAAAGTTGTAGATTGAACGAGTGAAGTTCTGACTCGCAGTCTCAGAATGTTGACTTCCGTTTTAGAGCTAAGCATGCGCACAACAACCGGAATACCAGATTTCTGGTGTAAAAATTCCATTCCCCCAGAGTCTTACCTGGCGACGACCCGCTGACCGAGGAGACCGTGGACTCTGGGTACGAGATTGGATGGCATGTGGCATGACTTGCGGAATGGCATAATTATGCGGAATAAATTACTTAAAGAGATACGTTAACTACAAATAACCGCTTTACGTAATGATGCGGGCTCAAAGCATACGATATTGTTCAAGATGGCGGCTGTTCGGTGACAAGAAGCGTATAGGTTCACCACTTTTGTGTTCGTGGTAGCCATATTTTTCGGTCAAAACAAAGAAAAATTATCCTTTAAGTGATATTCTGTATTGTGGAGGTAAATTATTTTAGTTATCAGGTTGTATTTTATTTTGAGGAAGTAGTGTTCTGTGTCGATTCTGTGCAAGAGATGAAAGTTCACGAATTATAAAATTATTTGAGTGATAAGCATAAATCCATGACAGATCCAGATCGATGGGTTATATTTTGCCAGTTATATGGGTGGTATGATTTCTTGGAAAACAGCAGCTCTCAGAAGATATCAATAAAATTGGATTTGATGATAGACTGTGTGACAGTGGTCACACGTGACACTTCACAAAAATAACCCAACTTCGAGCACTAAATTCGCCAAGAAGATAAGTCGCGCTTAGAGGCACCTTCTATATAGTGGATTCATGCACATTCGAAGAGCAACTTGCCGACATTTTCGGCAAATTCCACCACGCAGTTTCATATATAAACGCCATTTCCTGTGTAAACTTTGCAGCAATAAAAAAATAAACACACATAAGTGATGGATTTCTTCCAAAAAATACAACCCGATAACTAAAATAATTTGCCTCCAGAATACAGAATATCACTTAAAGGATAATTTTTCTTCGACCGAAAAATATGGCTACGACGAACACAAAAGTGGCGTCTTGTCACCGAACAGCCGCCATCTTGAAAACGTGACAAGATCGTATGTTTGAGTCCGCATCATTACGTAAAGCGGTTATTTGCAGTTAATGTATTTCTTTAAGTAATTTATTCCGCATAATTATGCCATTCCGCAAGTCATGCCACATGCCATTCCGCAAACTCATTCTGCCTTTTACCCTCACCGCTGTTTAGAGCGATTTTCAATTTAGTGTCGAAAAACCAAAGCAATTACAATGACCAATCACAACAAATGAAAACAACACAATGAACCAATGAGAACGTGAAGCAACTACACGTGACCGGCGCTAAGCGCGGGAAAACGCGTGCGACCAAGTCGCGATTGGTTTTGGTTTTGCATCTGATTTGTGGAGTAGGTGGCGCGAGTTTTTTAAAGCAAAACCAAAGCAATTCAGCGATTACTTTCGACACTCAATGGTACGCTCTATTTTGCACAAACAATACGCGCGGTTACCAATGGGTCTTCTTGGGGTATGGGTTAGGATTTAGGGACTGGGTTAGGATTTCATGTACAGTTTTAAATTGTAGGACGACAGCGTACCTAATTATTTAAGAATAGGGAAACACCGTACAATTCATAAATTACTAGTAGCGAGGGATCGGACGTTACTTTCAGTGGTAGGAGCTTTTCAGATCGCTACTTTCCGATAGTCAAATCCTGTTACTGCTGAGTAATACCGTTGCTAAATGTTGGTTTCTCACACACCACTGATAGCCATGTAAAGCCGACCGCCGCGCCGCAAGCCTGTCCTTTATACACATATCACGCTAAAAACTGGGAAGCTTCCAAAAATTACAAGGTTTGTACATTGTATAGCGCCGCATACAACTGAAATTCTTTGGGTGGGAAGGTCAATAATAGCTAGTAATGGCGGACGCAACAAAAACAACTGCCCGTCTCACCGGTCACATGACCTATACCCAGGCCCCAGCGGTGTGTGAGAAAAACATTTTCCACTTCTTTCGTTTCACTCAGCCAGTGGAAAATCACCTTTAATATGACTGTAAATACGATGTGGGGACGCAATATTTGTATTACAGTAGCAAATACGTTTGTACAGTACAGTTCTTAGATGCACTTAACTCACTTTTGCTTGACCAAATGAGTGTACCTTCCTATCAGTTTGTTAGTCTTGTAATAAACTACCTGAACTGATGTGTATCAGTTACTGTGCGTACCATCTGTTTTGCTATCTCAGGATTACTGGTGTCAGGTTACCTCGACTCTCTATAAGGCGGACAACTGTCTAAGACGGACAGTTGGTGCCGGTCCCGATGGTGCCCGCCGTCTTAGACTGAGCTGAGAGAGTTGACTGTACCGTGAAATTCCGATGGAAACCTGAGGATCGCAAAGTGGTTTCCATATGATCGCAAGAGTGGTAGCCTGCGTGCAGACGTCTCCTTTTCCTTGCTTCTCGCGGAAAAGCAAGGAAAAGGAGACGTCTGCACGCAGGCTAAAGAGTGGTTTCTATATAAAAACTGCACGATCGCAACGATCGCAGAGATATAATTTTTTCTATATTTTTCTATCTCTGCGATCGTGCTCGCAAGGGTCGCAACAGCCTGGTTTCCATATAATCGCAGCGATCGCTGCATTTCGTCGGTAAAGGGCGGGAAAACAGGGACACGGGACTTGATGGTTAGGAAGCGAAACCCCCACGCACAACCATGGAGCGACGCCTGGGTACGAGGCTGTGCACCTAACATTTTTCAGACGCAAAATTCCTTCCCCTGAAAAGTATTTTGAACAAATATAAACGTAAAGCCACACTCTGGCCAAACTGGCCCACACTGCAGGGGCTTATCCCGGTTTCCTTAGCATGAAGCCGACTAGGAGTATTGCTACTCCATCGCAGGTTACCCCCAGCATTTTGTCGCCGGTACCCATTTATACTCCTGGGTGGAGAGGCACTGTGAAGGTAAAGTGTCTTGTCCAAGAACACAACACAATGACCCTGGCCAGGACTCGAACCCAGACCGCTCGATGCGGAGTCCAGCGCGCTAACCATTAGGCCGCCAATATAAGTCCAGGGTTTATTATCGGACTTCCACGATATTTCTAGTCACGTCCACTGGAAAAGTTGAAAATTTACAAAACATGTAAAAATATATTTACAACTGTAAATCTGGATTTACATACTTTGTAAATTTCAATTTACAGGTTAGTGTTTTGTAAATAAAATTTACATTATATTTACAGCTTTAACAGATCATGTAAATGGACTGTAAATAGTGATTTACGTGTTTAGTTTTTACAGTGAGAATTCGAGGAAGTGTAAAAAACCTGTAAATTATTTTAAACACATTTACAGTATCTAGATCTTGTAAATATCATGTAAATCGAAAAGGGGGGCCTGTCAGGAACCCTTGTAAATATCATGTAAATCGAAAAAGGGGGCCTTTCAGGAACCCTTGTAAATAACATGTAAATCGAAAAAGGGGGCCTGTCTTGAACCATGTAAATACAGTTGAACCCCGTTAATTCGAACTCTCATGGGAAACGGGAAATAGTTCGATTTAGCCAGGGGCACCCAACGACGTTTTTCTCCCAACTATTTTAGGCTGTCTGGTGCATGTGCTTTTAAATTCTAAGCTGCGCTATAAAATTTATATATCTTCGGTCATTCTAGGGGAACTTTAGACTTCCCGAATTTATTGGGGCTTTTTTAGTCATTTCCCGAAAACCTCAGCTCTTCCTTGCTGATTTTTCCTTTCCCGAAAATCCTAGCTGACCTTTTTTTGTACCCAAAAACAAATTTTTATCTCTCCAAAAATAATAGGCATTAATTTTCCCATATTTCCCTAAAGAAAACTCCAAACTTTAATCCGAATATCTGAGGCGATTATAGGCCTTCCGAACATATATTTCACCGAAACGATCCGTTGGGTGCCCCTGTTTAGCGGGGGTTCGAAATAACCGGGTCAGTGTTTAATAATTAATAATTAACATGATAGAATGACTTGTGCCTTATACAATTGTTATTTCAATAAATTGGCAATATATAGTACATTCGTACAACCGGAACTGTGCCCAACGAAACAAGATGTATACATTACAAAATAAGTGCAATAAAAAGGTTATAAATAAGTTCAGTGCGCTTCCAGCTGTGTTCTGATGCCGTCTGATGTTCAGGTCCATCAACTTTTTAAATTAGAGTTCAAAATAACGGGGTTGATTTTAGGCCAAGGGAACTGCACGATTAGTTCGAAATAGCGGGGAGTTCGAAATAACCGAGTTCGAAATAGCCGATAGCAAATGACTGAAAAAACAAGGGCAAAAAAATAACGGGGAAGTTCGACATTAGTTGACATTAGCGGGGTCTTAGGGAGACTAAGTTCAACTCTTGCATTGGTCGAGAGAGTCTGGATCTGAACAAATCATGCGCAATGTAACCACTTCCCGGAATGCCTCGGTGTTTTGGCGCTCGTTTCAACGGTCGTCGAAGCTTTTATGGCTGGTGTTGGAGGGAACTTTTACTGCCTAAAAAAGGTTTTCTTCTCGGAAAGCCGACTTTATTTACCAAGTAGCTGTATGGCATCTTCTTACAGCGGACCTCAGATGCATGGGTACGCCTTTTAAGCCAGTCTCTTAGTGCCCCTGTGTGATGTCAATTCAAATTTTGAACGTCGAAATCGTGCAGTCGAGTCAGTTGATTTGTTGAGCTAAACAGCTGCAAGGTAAGCTTGGCTTATTAAGTTTACTGTTTCTATACTCCGTACGTAATTATATATATATATATTCGCTATAATAACGAGTAGCGAACTTTAAAATATGCGGACAAAGATAAGCTTTTATAAATTGAAACCATTTGAGCTCACTGGCTTTGATTTGGTCACAATTGACCCCCCAAAACTGTGAGTGCTTGATTGCATGCATTCGGTTTCTGAATGCAATTGAACATGAAATCATTCAAAATATACCAGATATTCCATAATATTCCTAACAATGTACATTGTTATGTAGCATGTGAGAACAAGCTAGTACATGTGTAAGTTCAACATAATTATATCATGAAACAAGTGCCTAATTTGCACTTGCACGTCCATGCCACATCCATTTTCATTGGAATGAATGTTAAAATGGGTTTTGACAAAACACTGACCCTCGGTCAACTGACCCCTTACTGACCCCCCTAACTGACCCCCTCTAAAATTCACTGGGAAAATGAGAAAATCAAAAAAATCCAGAACAATACAATGAGAGACTGAATCAAGCTCATAAATAAATTTCAGCTCACCTGAAATTTCTAAGATAGCGTACATGGAAGTATGGCTCAGGTCTACTGACTCTACTTTTTCATTACAAGTACAGGTTTTTTATCTGATAAACAAGCGTGTGAAATAAGTTGTCACATCATAAAGTATGTTAGCTGTCTCCAGGAGGAAACTACAAATGTACAGTAGACTCCCGCTCAATCTCAAACTCTCAAGGGGAAACGAAAAACAGTTCGAGATAGCGAGGAGTTTGAGATAGCCGATAGTAAATGACTGAAAAACAAGGGCAAGGGGAATTGGTTTGAGATAGCAGGGTTTTCGAGATAACCGAGTTCGAGATACACTGTAGCGGGAGTCTACTGTAGCTATAAAAGCAACAAAATAAACACACACAGAAATGGCTTCCGGTTACTGCATCGTGCGTGTGTGTTTATGTTGTTGCTTTTATAGCTACACTGTAGTTTCCTCATGGAGATACATGTACATGTAGCTAACATGCTTTATGATATGTTCAGGGTGCAAAGAAAATCAATTTTCCAGCTTGCCCTTCGGGCAAGCTGTAACTAGGATGTACTAGCCCGGAAGTCATTCTCACTAGCCCCAAAAAATTCTCACTCGCATGATTATTCAATTAATCAATCAATTAATTAATTAATAATTCATTGAATTAATTAATTATTTATAATTAGTTAATTAATCCCGTAATTTGGTAAGTTTTTATTAACTACCAGTTGGTAAGATACTATTCAAACACACAAAACGTCAACAAGGAAAGTTGTCAGCAACAGCGCTTGATTGTGCTATTTACCACCAAAATAATTATTTGCCGCATCAGTTTGGCTCTCTGTAATGTGTTTTTGGTTTAATTTACCTCCAAAGTTACAAACTGGTTTGCAGGTTTGTCCCTAAGAAAAATATTTCGCGGTTGGTGTACAAATTCAGCAGGCTGGCTTGTGCCTATCACCAGAGACACAATCCATTGACATACACGACGCATTTTATGGTTTGCACGTCTCGCAATGCATTGTAGGGCGTTTTACAAAATGGCTGTCTGCTGAGTCAAAAGAAACTTTGTTGACGCGTTTTTGCCGATATTTATCGTGATGAAAGCAAACCAAGACCAGAGAAATTGTTTTTTAACTTTAATTTATTGTGTGACTGATTTTATGGCAAATTTAGAACTGAAAAAGCAGGTTTTCCAGCCGGGCGGCTGCCGACCGGTAAGTTTATCACAAAAGCTGCGATAAAAATGCTCGAACGAAAAAAAAAGATCTCTTACATTTTGTAAGCTTACATTACTTCTGTAATTGAAATTTCCTTACTTTTTCCACAAACTAAATGCCCTCTAAAAACTTTACTTGCCCGTCTACTTGCCCGTCGGGCAAGCGAAGGATAGAATCCACTAGCCCGACAGAAAAATCCACTAGCCCCGGGATATCGGACACGACTTTCTTTGCACGCTGATGTTACAACTGATTTTGCGCTTGTTTATCCGAGAACAAAACCTTGTAAAATGTACTTGTAAAGAAAGAGTAGAGAGTCAGTAGACATACATGTAATGGCCACACTTCTGCCATCTTGGTAATTTCAGGTGAGCTTAAGTTTGTTTATGAACTTGACTCAGTCTCTCATTGAATTTTTCTAACTTTTGTTTGTTTTTCTCATTTTCCCAGTGAATTTTAGAAGGGGTCAGTTGACCGGGGGTCAGTGTTTTGTCAACACCCTGTTAAAACAATAATATATTTTTTAAATCATCATGAAGTGTGTATGGTTGAGTGTTGATTGATTAATTAATTAAACTTTCAATTCCATCCATTCTGATTAGTAAATGAATAATGAATACAAAACTACTAGAATGGTAAAATGGCCGTCGAGGCAACCAAATTCTTATCTTGTGATAGCCGTTTTGTTGACCATGTTAGGGCCTGTTCGCACTACTTCACTTCGCACTACTTTGGTTTGGTGTTTGCAAAAAAATTGAAAATTTTGTAATTACAATTTTTTGTTTTCGTAATCGCGTTCGCACTTGAGACATGTGAGGTATTTGTATAACCAGAAACATCGATCAAATTAATTAAAATAGATACCAAGATCTGAGAAATTGTTTTGTACTTTTCCGTTTTCCGCTCTTACGCTTTCATTTCCAGCAGTCTCAACTTTGTTAGGGAGTTAGGAAGAAACGTTCGAAGACGTTCGAATGATTCAAAGCGCCTTGTTTGAAAGTACCGCTGCTGGGCAGAGAGTTGAGAACAGTACCTAGCGAGCAGCATAAACTGGTAGTACAGTGACTGTACATTATCTGCCTGAGAATGGCATCGGGAGCCATAATAGTTTGATTTGCTTGGGATCAATTGCGATATATGATAACTTGATGAAGGTTAGCTGTCAATAAAGAATAGATATTCATGCCTGACAAAATATCTTTGATGTTTGGTGACACTCGACAACATTTTGGTAGGCAAAAAACTTGTTCGCACTTAAAATAGCTTCACGTTGGCATATTTTTTTGCAAAACAAACAAAATTTTGTGTAGTGCGAACAGGCCCTTATTGGTAAAGTTCAACTTGCGATGATCAAGTTTCAACTCACATTTGCCCTCATGCCTGAAACTTGCTGACAGGGTGAACATAATGATTTGTTTCCAAGAAAAACACTGTGAACACATCCAAGGCAATATTTATATCTTGATGGATGCGCATTGAGTTGGCATTTGATCATTTCAAGTTCAAATGATCATGTACAGTACTTGTAAACAATAGATCTCTGCCATCTCATGATCTTTGTCAGCCATCTCTTGGACATTTCAGGCCAATTTAATA